ACAGCAGTCCTCAGGCTGTGCCTGCCCTGGTGACTCCATGGTTGCACAACAGCAGTCCTCGGGCTGCGCCTGCCCTGGTGACTCCATGGTGTGTAGAACAGCAGTCCTCAAGCTTCGCCTGTCCTGGTGATTCCATGGTGTGTGGAACAGCAGTCCTCAGGCCGCGCCTGCCCTGGTGACACTAGTGTTTTCTCTAGACTACTCCAGTTTGGGTCTGAGTGAACATGTGAACCACCACCACCCACTGGCAGAACCATTAGTCGTAATTGAAAAATAAATTGATCATGTTAATGAGAATGACCGCCGTGAGCTTACCAAATGCATCAGAAGCCGTGCACGGTGGTGATCCAACTCGTGTTGGACTCATGAGCCTTTCAGACACCCAGACCTGAAGGAAGCAGCGCCCTCACTGGAGACCCATAAAGGGTGGCACCCTGACTGCATCACGTTGTCACTCATCACGAGACTTGCCCAGAAGTGTCCTCTCAGTGACAAACCTCCGAATCTCTGTCTTTGGGCTTAACAGATTGTGACAATCAGCAAGCCCCACTTCACACTGACATCTCAACCTGCCTCCACACTGACACTCTGCAGCTGCCATCTGTGTGGACCGTGGTCTGAACAAGCTCTTTGCTGGTTCCTCGTCTTACCCGGCCATCTGCAGCAACTGTCCACATGTGCTCTCTGCCTTTGCCGCTGCTCAGCCTCCTGGACCCTGTGGCTGCCTCAGCCCTTCCTTAGCCCTCTGTAACACAAAGCTGTGGAGGCAGATGTGTGGCTTGAGTGTTTAGATGTTAGAGATTAAGATCAGAATAAAGGACCTGCCGTGGCCAGGCTTCGGACCGCGGGGGCCACAGTATCCAGAGAGCTGCTGCCGCGGAGCGTAAGTCCTGACCTGTGGGAAGACATGGTGTGTCTGTCTAAGTTAAGGACACACCCTCCTGACAGAGGGAGACCCCGAGTCTGGCTCTGGTGCTGGGTGGATGGAAGCACCATTTCCTGTGAGGGGGCCCTGGGTGCTGAGGGGGGACATGGCAGCAATGCCACAGCGCACTTGGGGGCAGGAGGGGGCGCCGGTGAAGCCCGGTCAGCAGGCGCACACACGTCCTCGGGCTCCGGGGCCTTCCTGGGGAGATGCGGGGACTCGGCAGGCGAGAGGTGGCACCTAGGCCCCTAGGAATGTTCCTGGGAAAGAGAGGCCCGGGGTCCTGGATGGCCCAGGGACAGCGATGGGGAGGGGGAGGGGTAGTGGGCAGTGGGCGCTGTCCCCAGAGGCTGGCCACAGCCCACAGCAGCCCGTGCAGGGAGGTCCCAGGCGGGGGCCGCAGGGTTCTCGTACTCTGTGATCTTACAAAGGAGCAGAACATGAAAGCAAAGGGAGGAAGCCGTGGGCTCTGCACGTCGGCCAGAAGTTCCCAGGACAATGGCCCTGGGGCTCCTCAGAACGCAGCCCCGGCCACCCCTCCGCGCGGCCAGGCCTGGGAGCTGCCCTGTTTGTTTTTGTGCCGGTGCTTTGAGCTCTGACCTGCGTCTTTCCCCTGCGTTCCAGGGCTGTGTGTGCAGCCTGGTCCCTTCCCGAGTGCGACCACCTCTCTGGGCTGACATCAGCCCTTAAAATAGCCCCCAGACCACATTCTCAGGAGGCAGAGACTCTGTGTTCTCAGGGGAAAGTCCCTGTCATGGCTGAGATGAAGAAGGCAAACTTCCAGCCCCAGGCGGTGGGCACGACAGCATGGCACAGTCCACAGTCCTTCCTCCCTCTGTCCCCGGGCCCCTGGGAGCGGACAGCTTGTGCAGAGTTGGCTGTAGATTCTGTCGCCACCAGGGCTGGACCCCGAGACCTGACCTCCATCTCGCCCCTCCAGAGCCAGCAGGGTGGCACCTCCTGGGGCAGGTGGTGGCGCAGGCGCTCCTCTCTGATGGCCTTGCTTCGACTGCAGTCATGGTGGACGCTGTCCTCTGGGCTTGACGTCCAGGGATTTCTCTCCTTTACTCCACACTTTTCCTTTACTAACGGCACACACTGAAGGGCAGGAGCAATGAGCTGCCCGGCCCGGTGCCTAGGGGAGACCCACAGGCTTCTCAGCCTTGCAAGTGAGACTCGGTTTCTCCACTAGGAAAGGAAGGGCTTCAGGGGACACTGGCAGGACTCCCTACAGCTCTTGTCCCTCCTACGCCACGCAGCCACCTGGAGAGATTTGAGAATGACGGCACTGCGTGCTTCGGGATGAGGGTGGCTTCCTCATGTGACCCTGGCCTGCGGTGGGTGAGGACCGAGCGTGTGGGGATAGGTCAGCCTGGTGCGGGGGTGCGGCCCGCTGTGTGCCCGGCCTCCGGTGCCAGCGCAGCCTGCAGCAGGCAGACACTCCTCACTGAGAGGTCCTGAGTGAGGGGAGCCGGTCACAGGAGCAGGGCAGGAGCACCTGCACAGACCTCTGCTTTCCCACTTGTGTTTGGACACCCAGGCCAGCATGACCTCTCGGCCAGCATGACACAGACGTGATCTTCTAAAAGCAAAACACTTTCTTCTTTAAACACAGCCTTGAGCCAACACCTGGAGCCTGGGAGGAGCGGGCCTCCTGGTGATGCTGGTGACCCTGACACTCACTAGTGCGCAGAGGCCCTCCAGGTCCCGTCCCAGGGCTGGTGTCCTGTCTGCAGGGGCCTCCCGAAGGCACCCACCTCCTGACGCCACTCAGTGGAAGACTTTGGGCTTCTGACCTCCAGAACCCTAGGAGCCGACCTGGGTCCACGAGAGGCCACGGAGCCACGAACTCACATTCACACGGACGGCAGCCCCGTTGCCAGAGGCTGAGCAATGGCTGCACTTTCCCAAATGACAAATACTTGGGGTCCAAAGTACACCGAAGAATATCTCCACCTGTCCCAGAGACAGGATCCAGTGTCAGAACCAGCTCCAGGCCACCCAGGTGTCACCCAGCCCCTGGGAAACAGGAGAGTTCTGTGGCTCCTTGATGGACATTCCAGGGGTGGCCATCGCCGGGCACGGGCGCTGGTCTCTGCAGGAAGAGATATGCTCCGGGAAGCTGCTTGCTGCTTTCTGCGGGGGCCAGGCTGCCGGTCACGGCCACCACAGGAAGGCCTGAGGCGGAACAGGCCCAGCCTCTGCCAAAGGAAGCTGCAGGTGCAGCACCAACTTTGATCCCTGAGGCTGTTTGAGGAGCTCAGTGAGGGTTTATCCTGTGTCCCCAGAGCCACAGGGGTCATCACTGGGCTGGACAGACAGCAGCATCTACTTGTTTTTCTGTGCCATTTCCCTGGTTTATCCGTCAGTGAGCTGATGTTCAGAGAGGCCCATTAGGTTGTTTGCAGAACCCCGTCTCCCCTGAAGGAAGAATTTTAATGCTATAAAATAAAAATGTTATATCTGTGGGGATTTTACTACGCACATGATCAGGAAAAACACAAAAACAAAAAATTCCTGCTGTGAGGCAGAAGGGCAGCTGTGGGCTCACAGTTTGCCCAGGTGGAGCAGCAGGCAGTCTGGACCCAGGGCTTCAGCTGCGGCCGGCCGGCTTCCTGGTGGGCCAGTCCCCTGAGTGGAAGGAGCTGCCAGGAGCTCTGCGGCTGGCCCGTCATTCACTGACAGGTATCACCGAGCACCCCTCCCGCCCCGTGCTAGGCTCTATCCTAGATGGCTCAATTGTCCTTGCCCCAAGGAGCTTAAGTTCCCGAGGCAGAAGCAGCAAGTACAGAGCACACCTGGCGGCAGGTCTTGGGAGACACAGGGTAAGGCCTGGAGCAGGACAGCAGAGGCTGGTGGAGAGGCTGGGGGACTCCAGGTGGAGG